AGCAGGTTGGGTGCAGAGCACCATGCATTTCGTGCCAGCACCTAGATGGGCATCTAGAGGGTCACCAAGGTGGGCAGCAGGATGGGCACTACGATGGGCAGCAGATTTGGTACAGAGCACCACACATGGAGTGCCAGCACCCAGATGGGCATCTAGAGGGTCACCAAGGTGGGCACCAGGATGGGTGCAGAGCATCATGCACAGGGTGCCACCACCTAGAGGGTCACCAAGCTGGTCACCATGATGGGCACCAGGATGGGTGCAAACCACCACGTACATGGTGGCAGTGCACAGATGGGCATCTAGAGGGTCACCAAGGTGGGCACCACGATGGGCACCATGATGGGCAGCAGGTTGGGTGCAGAGCACCATGCACGGGGTGCCAGCACCTAGAGAGTCACTAAGGTGGTCACCAAGTTGGTCACCATGGTGGGCACAGAGCACCATGAAGGTGGTGGCAGTACCCAGATGGGCATCTAGAGGGTCACCAAGGTGGGCACCACGATGGGCACCATGATGGGCAGCAGGTTGGGTGCAGAGCACCATGCACAGGGTGCCAGCACCTAGAGGGTCATCTAGAGGGTCACCAAGATGGACACCATGATGGGCAGGAGGTTGGGTGCAGAGCACCATGCATGGGGTGCCAGCACCTAGAAGGTCACCATGGTGGGCACTGTGGTGGGCACCAGGCTGGGGTGCCAGCACAGGTTGCCAGCACCCATCCGTGCACCCAGCCCCTGTCCCACGTCACTGTCCCCGTCCCGCCAGGCCAGTTCTGCACCGAGGACGTTGACGAGTGCCAGCTGCAGCCCAACGCGTGCCACAACGGGGGCACCTGCTTCAACACGCAGGGCGGGCACACGTGCGTGTGCGTCAACGGCTGGACGGGCGCCGCGTGCAGAACATCGACCGACGACTGTGCCACCGCCGTGTGCTTCCACGGCGCCACGTGCCACGACCGCGTCGCCTCCTTCTACTGCGCCTGCCCCATGGGCAAGACGGGTACGGGGCACCCTTGGGTGCCGGTGGGGAGCTGGGTGCCTTGGGGTGCCACCACCGCAGTCTGGGGATGGTGGTTGTAGGGGCATCTTGGTGGTTGTGGTGGCGTGGGGTGGGCGCCCGTTGCATGGGGTGTTCTTGGCATGGGGTGGACCCACCTGGCATGGGGTAGAGGCACCCTGGGGTGCCCTGGTGTAGGGCAGAGGCAGCTTGGAGCACCCTAGATATGTGGTGGCCTCCCCTAGCATGGGGTAGATGCCACCTTGGAGCACCCAGCATGGGGTAGGGGCACCCACGATATGGGGTGGACACCCATGGTGTGGGACAGAAGCACCTAACATGGGGTAGGGCCACCCATTGTATGGGGTGGACACCCATGAATGGGGAGGGTCACCAAGGTGACCTCCAGGGGTGCACCCTGGAGCACCCAACATGGCTTAGGGGCACCCATGATATGGGGTGGACACCCATGGTGTGGGACAGAAGCACCTAACATGGGGTAGGGCCACCCATTGTATGGGGTGGACACCCATGAATGGGGAGGGTCACCAAGGTGACCTCCAGGGGTGCACCCTGGAGCACCCAACATGGCTTAGGGGCACCCATGATATGGGGTGGACACCCATGGTGTGGGACAGAAGCACCTAACATGGGGTAGGGCCACCCATTGTATGGGGTGGACACCCATGAATGGGGAGGGTCACCAAGGTGACCTCCAGGGGTGCACCCTGGAGCACCCAACATGGCTTAGGGGCACCCATGATATGGGGTGGACACCCATGGTGTGGGACAGAAGCACCTAACATGGGGTAGGGCCACCCATTGTATGGGGTGGACACCCATGAATGGGGAGGGTCACCAAGGTGACCTCCAGGGGTGCACCCTGGAGCACCCAACATGGCTTAGGGGCACCCATGATATGGGGTGGACACCCATGGTGTGGGACAGAAGCACCTAACATGGGGTAGGGCCACCCATTGTATGGGGTGGACACCCATGAATGGGGAGGGTCACCAAGGTGACCTCCAGGGGTGCACCCTGGAGCACCCAACATGGCTTAGGGGCACCCATGATATGGGGTGGACACCCATGGTGTGGGACAGAAGCACCTAACATGGGGTAGGGCCACCCATTGTATGGGGTGGACACCCATGAATGGGGAGGGTCACCAAGGTGACCTCCAGGGGTGCACCCTGGAGCACCCAACATGGCTTAGGGGCACCCATGATATGGGGTGGACACCCATGGTGTGGGACAGAAGCACCTAACATGGGGTAGGGCCACCCATTGTATGGGGTGGACACCCATGAATGGGGAGGGTCACCAAGGTGACCTCCAGGGGTGCACCCTGGAGCACCCAACATGGCTTAGGGGCACCCATGGTGGGCACCTCTGCTTGGAGGACACCCGTGGGTGGTGGGCACACTTGAATGGGGGCCACCCATGAGTTTTGGGACCCTTGGCTGAGTGGAACCCTTGGTGTGGGCACCCATGCATGGGTGGTGGGCACACCTGGATGGGGGACACCTATGGGCGGTGGGCACCTCTGCTTGGAGGACACCCGTGGGTGGTGGGCACACTTGAATGGGGGCCACCCATGAGTTTTGGGACCCTTGGCTGAGTGGAACCCTTGGTGTGGGCACCCATGCATGGGTGGTGGGCACACCTGGATGGGGGACACCTATGGGCGGTGGGCACCTCTGCTTGGAGGACACCCGTGGGTGGTGGGCACACTTGAATGGGGGCCACCCATGAGTTTTGGGACCCTTGGCTGAGTGGAACCCTTGGTGGTTTTGGGCACCCACGGGTGGTGGGCACACCTGGATGGGGGACACCTATGGGCGGTGGGCACCTCTGCTTGGAGGACACCCGTGGGTGGTGGGCACACTTGAATGGGGGCCACCCATGAGTTTTGGGACCCTTGGCTGAGTGGAACCCTTGGTGTGGGCACCCATGCATGGGTGGTGGGCACACCTGGATGGGGGACACCTATAGGTGGTGGGCACCTCTGCTTGGAGGAGACCCATGGGTGGTGGGTACACCCGCATGGGAGGCCACCTACACACAGTGCCCTCCACCCGGCCGGTCCCACCGTGGCGCGGCGGGACCCAAGGGG